AGAGAGAAGAAGCGTTACTAGCAATTTTGTCAATTATTTTGTCTTTCTATTTCAGAGTCGGTCAAAAAATTGGCCGATTTAATAATGGTCCACAAGAATTGTAAAGACCATAAAAATCATAATTTTGCAGGCAAAGGGCATTAAAAATCATTGCGCACGCCTGGTTTCGTAAAACGTGGCTACATTATGCTCAGAGAATTCTAAGCATTGTGTGCCCATTTTGAATCATTACCTTACTTTTCTTTTCTGTTACCATCATTAATCACGAATAGACTACTACTCACTACAATATTTTTCCATATTCTAGATAATAATGAATCCCCATTCTCCAATTACTAATCCACATCAACCTTCAAATAATTCTACTACTCCCTTGGTCGAGTGGCGAAGTCAGAATTTTGACTAAAGGGTATTAAAATATAAAGAAGTAAAACTGAGTAGAAGTAAATGAGTGTCGATATGTAATGTCTATACATAAAAACAAATATTTACCTAACTACACAATGTAATTTTCTAACGAAGGAGCGTCAACCAGTATATTTGGCTCTGCTACTGTCCATTCCAATTTATGTGACGTAGTCTGACTGAGTACGAAGTTTAAGAAATATGTGAAAACTTTACCATATTACAAAACTATCCGTAAGATGAATGATTTTTTTGTATAGAAGATTAGACCTTTTTACCGAATAAGTGGAATCCACATGGAAATGTTGATAATGTCACTAAATATTTGCTAAATAAGAAAACATACTCCCTTCGTCCACTTTTAATTTTCATGCTGTGCTTTTCGAAGTCAATTTGACTAATTTTCAAAGTGAAATTAGATTACATTAATTTGATATTTTAAATAAAAAATTTCAAAAACTATACGAAAAGTACTATAAATTGTAATTTTTTTCATATCAATATGATGAAAAAATACATCATCAAATGTTAGTCAAAGTACTTATCATTTGACTCTAAAAAAGGAAACCATGTCAATTAAAAGTGGACGGAGGTATTATTTTATTTTTTGGACAAACTAAAAAAAAGTGTATCATATAAATTAGTAAAGGGGGTTGACTTGATTAATTAATTAAGCAACAATTTTGGATTATTATGTAGGCATGTCTCTATATTTGAGGTTCACTGTGTTACACTGAGATGATAAAGCCAAGCATCTCGTGTCTGTATAATTAATAAAATTAGCGGACTTATAACTTATATATAAGCATACGCAGTGCGCGGGCTTGATTTCTCAACTTAATTACTCATGAATGGCAAGCAAACAACTTTTTTGTCTTCACTTTCCATATGTATAGCATATAGGGAGTACCTAGCTAGATGCCTATAGCAAGCAAGCATCTATCATGCAACTCACCCAAAAAAAGAAGTTAAAAAAAGTGAACGTAAGTGTCCATAAGTGAGAATTTTGATTATTCACAGAGTGATTTAAGTTAATATAGTAATAATATTAAATGAGTTCACACTAAAATATTTATACATATACAAAAAAATATAGGGTTCATGTGAAGCCATAATAACCATTTATAGTAGATCCACTTCTAGTGACAATGAGATTAGCATATAAGTAACTCAGAAAATAAAAGTAGGTAACGTGCTATAATAGGTAAAGAAAGTAGTGAGTGTAAAAGAATTGTTACAGTGAGATAAATAAGTTGAATCATTTCCTAATAGTAATAAATCATGGTAAATTAATCTTCCCTCTATAAAAGTTCCAAACCCCAAAAATGGCAAAAAGTTTATCTTTGATGGAAGGAAATATCAAATGGATTTGAGCCAAAATTAATTAAAAACTAGTTCATGAGTAAAGAATTATCCAAGTTATGTTAAAAAGATCACCAATTCCTTTAAAGATTGATGTGGGATTCTTCACATTCCTTCAAGCTCAGTAGTACTAAACATCAAATGCATAGAAAATTTAATATAAGTACCCAATATCAAAACTGAGAATTAAAATGAGTCATACTTTGATATCATATTGAGAATCATGCATTGAACTCACAACTCAATGCATGATTCTCTAAGAGAAATAGCTATAAAAGAAAAGCAGAAAAGGGGTAAAATTCGTTGTAATGATAAGAATTTAGTGATCACTTTTAAGTTTGGCAATGTTACATCGGACATGCATCATTTAGGTCCCACTCTCCAACCCACTGATTTGCTAAAGGATGAGGACTTCATTTTATTATGAACTATTTAATAAGCTTTAGAATTAAAGGTGCCGGTAAAATCAACATCAGTTCCTGTTCAGTTTAATCAATCAATATAGTGTTTAGTTATTATTGAAACTTCAATTATGGCGTTATGGGCAATGAAGCCCTACGTAATATATTTTTTTTTTATAACTTAGTGGAGTATTGATTGACCGAGAATTTCGGCCTAAGATACCACATTCAACAATATTTAAGTCGTCTATTCATATCTCTATTAGGAAAAAATAAAATGAAAGGTAAACAACTGTCAATATAATAAGTTCAATTTGTAATAATCTTGTATAATTTGAATAATATTAGTTTGAGATAAGTGTCAAAAATACATCTAAACTATCATTTTTTTTTAAGTTTCATACCTAAACTATTGAAAGTTTGAGTTCATACCTAAACTATCATTTATTAGTTTGAGAAACACACCTCAATTGTGTGTGTAATATACAATACTCTCTCTTTTATTTGAAAAAACCTTAACACATGACAATCCACTTGGATAAAATATTTCACCTTGATAAAAATTAAAAAATAAACTATTAATATTAATTAAAAATTAAAGATTAAAGTATTATTATTTCCAAAAAAATATTTTTTTAATTTTTTTTCTTACCCCACTCCACCAACATCTCCCGTACCCCTCACCCCCCCCCCCACAATTTCCCGTACTTTTATTTTCTTTAAAATTTTCTTTTATAAAATATTTTTAAAAAATCATACTTCACCCCCGCCCCCTCCTCCCTCCAAACCACCCACTCATTCCCCCCAAAAAATTGATATTATTTTATTTTAAAAAAAATAAAAATTTCACCCCATCCTATTTAACCCTCCGCTCCTAATTTATTTATTTTATTTTTACATTTTCTCATTTTGTGTTAGATATGTACATATATTTTTAGGAATTTTTTCTACTTGTGTACCGAATATAACATAAATAAAAATTTTATTTTAAAAAAAAAGTCTTGCGGCGACAAGTAAAAAATATATTAGATATGTATATATCTAACACAAAAGGAGATGAAGTAAAAAACAAAATTAAAATTTTTTATAAAAAGAAAATTAAACAAAAAAAGAGAGATGTGTTTCTCAAACTAAAAAGTGATAGTTTAGGTATGAAACTCAAAAAAGGAGATAGTTAAGGTGTGTTTTTGACACTTACCTCTATTAGTTTTACTCATATCTCTATAAAGAATGAAAGGTATACAACGGTTAATAGGTCACCATTTGAATCGTAGTTTGATAAATTCAAATTGTAACAATCTTGAATAGTGACATGACACGTCTAGAATTTGAACAATATTAGTTCTGTTCATTTCTCTATAGAAAATGAAAAGTATACAACGATTAATAGGTCACCATTTTAATCGTAGTTTGATAAGTCCAAATTGCAATTAATAATCTTGATTATTTTTTAAATTTCTCTATAGAAAATGAAAGGTATACAATAGTCAACAGGTCACCATTTGAATCGTAGTTTGATAAGTCCAATCTGTAATAATTTTGAATAGAGACGAGACGCAACTAAAATTTTGACAATATTAGTTCTACTCCTATGTCAATACAAAAAATGAAAGGTATACCACGGCCAATAAGTCCTGTTGAATCATAGTTTGATAAAGTTTAAATTGCTAATATTTGCAATAATCTTAAATAGTGACATGACGGATCAAGAATTTAAACAATATTAGTTCTTTCAATCATAGATATAGAAAAATGAAAGGGAGTATACAACAGTCAATAAGTGATCACCATTTGACTCATAGTTTGATAAGTCAAAATCGCAATAACTTTAAACAATGACATGACTGATCAGAATTCGAACTATATCTATCAGTTTTATTTACACATATTTTTTGTACATCGTACGTAGAATTTGACTTCAAAGCACTTGGTTGCGGCAAACCGACAGACTAGTTGTGTAGTTGGGCAGGTTTTCCATCTTTTCTATTAACAAAATGCCAAAGCCGCCGTGATCAAGCTACTAATTAATAGTCATATTTAGCTCAGATAACAATTAAGTAGTGCATTGCTACTACAAGAAAACTAGCTAGATAAACAAAGTTTCAGGAACATGCAGTGACGAAGTTTTTGATATAAACATATTAAAAATAATATTTAATTTTATATATACAATATAATTTTTCGATGTTGAGTCAAGGGTGATTAATGTCAAGTGTTTTTCCATGAACAAAGTGAAAGGTTGCATTGCACATATTCGAAATGTTTTCCACACGATAACGTTGATGAAGATTTTAGAAGAATTTTCAGAAAACTACAAAAGGAGAAACAAGAAACCCAATTAAGTTTTGCGGGGTGGCTTCAAGAAAACACTCAAATCAGCAAGTGAAAAGGCCTTGGTTTGACTATTCGATAGATTGAATTGATATTTGAAAGAAAGTGTTTTGGATTTTGGTAGACTTTTCCCCCAAGAAAATTAGACCAAACACCAAGAAGAAATAAATTCCTACATGTCTACAAAATCCAAATGGCAACGTAACATTGGAAAACTGATTTGTCAATTTTGTGAATTGTGACAAGTCGTAATAGGCGGCTCTAGAAACTAGAGGATGTGCAGATTAGAAATTGGTAACTCCATGGGTCAAGTCTTCCATACAGAAGTCTTAATTTACCAGTGATTCACTTCAATTGATTATGTATCTGAACTAACAGCTCTAAAACTTAAGAATTAGCTTTCATTAAAACAATAGTGTAACTCTGGAAAGAAGTTTAGCAATCAAATTCCTTCTAAAATATCTAACTTTTAAACATAAATTACGAAGTAATGTGAAGCACAATACTATTTCTCTTACATAACTCTATCTTTTCTACACGGTTCAGTATAATATTCCTGAACCTAAGTCATTTCAACCGTTCAACGACTATTATCTGATGATTTAGATCATTCAGATACTATGTGTTAATCTCTACATACGCTTCAAAGTTTACTACAATCAGCGCATCTGCTTGGAAATTATCCAGAACTGAGCATCTTTTTACCCATCAAGTTTAGTTTACAACAAAGCAAGAATTATTAAAATAGCTGAAACCTTGAGCTCTGGACTCTGGTTGTTCATTTCACAGGGAGATAATTGCTCGTCTAAATCATGTTTCTTAATGAATGGGTCATCAAAAGTAATATGAAGGGTGTGCCCCATCTTTCACAGCAGAAGATCGGTCAGCTTATGTGACGAAGATCAAAGAACTGTATTACTACAATCAGAGAGCACTTTTGTGCAAGAGGTATTCCTTTCACTTAAACCGCTGTTTGGTGCTTGCAGAAGTAGAAGGAAGTTCACATAGACAAAGGTAACTGTCTTACTTTCTTTCTTGCATGAGCCTGCCGTAACATTCTCAGACGCACTGGAAGGGTAATGGCAAGGCATATAATGAGAAAGGAACTCCAGTAATGTTGTAAATAAAGGGCCACATATGATGATAATATAAGCACACCAAATAACAAGGCGCAGAACACAGCAACTGCAACATCAGCCCTACATAAAAATTGAGACAATTACAAATTTGTAACACTATTAACAAATGCACAGGTCTCCCAAAACTGTTTAGAAGGTTTTATAAACTTGTGGAATGAAGGTTGCATCATGCAAATATTATTCTAATGACAAGGCAAAACTGAAGGTGCAAAGCATAGGGTAATTTAGTTTTGAGTGTGCGAGTAGATCCAGATCTTGTGCATCCAAGTTCGTAAATATACGAGAAAAGAAATTTTCAAGTTACACATAACAGATGATGGGTTAATATACTACTACTAGCACTGCATCCATTTACAAGTGCAATTGCCTGACGTACCATTAACAAAGGAGTGAAAGAATTTCCAACAACCAGGAGAAGTTCGAAACATTAGACAATATTAGGATACAGAATAAGGAATTAAAACAAGAAAATAATCAGGTATAGAAAGTGAAGGGTTAAGTTTATAGTGAAGAGCATCTACTTTGCCATTTGTCCCAATTTTATGACAACCACTCCCTTTCACAACGTCCTAAAATGTCTGAGCCATTACACTAAAAATATTATGCTTTACAACTTTCAAAAAGTTAAATTTTATCTCCCTAAAATAACTTCTTAAATTCTTTTAGTAGTTACTTCCACCACATCTAATGTAAAACAAATTGTAAACAAACATTTTAATTTTGTACCAAGTCAAACATTACTACGTAATATAATATATGGAGGGAGTAATAAAAAGTTGTTTATAATATTTTATCAACATCTGATATTGTGATTCTGAAAATAATTAGTCTACTTTAATTGTCGTCTCATCGGTGTTCACTTTCCGCAATTATAACACTAATTTTACAGAATGAACCTGTAATATCTTTCAGTACATCTTCTCCTTTTACAACTTACTCCTTGAGAACACATGAATTAAGATATAAATTGTGATGGATGGAGCAACTAAATGTACCTTTTTACTTCCACCACTGTAAATATACAATACTGATAGAATCATAAATCTTCCAGCAAAATTTTGTATCTGAAATAGTAATTCATCAAACTATTTCTCTTTAATTTTTTTATTATATACTACAACTTTGTTTCCGTGGGATCCATTTAACACTATTCAATACATTTCCTTTTTCTATTTTCTCCTTAAAAATACATTAATCAAATTACAGTCCAAGATGTTTCCTTGACAGATATTAAGCAGCTACTATTTTCTCTGATAAGCGACCAAGTCAAACGGTACTCCAGATTTGGTATGGAGAGAGCAGATAAAAGCAAGTCAAACTGAGAATAAGAGTAACTTACAAAATGCAATACTTATGCTCTAGTAAGCTAGATATGAGCCTTCAATGCTACATATCCATTCTTGTCACTCGGGAAAGAGGATTATGGTATTTGATGCACAAGAGAATAAGTAAAAGATCAAACAGGGAAATCACCTGATATTGGAGAATTAAAGCGACATGCGAGATTGCAACAGATAGCAACCTAAATGATCTCGGAGAGGGACATTCTAGGAGATGAGGAGAGTAATTTTCATGCTAGGAGACCAACAACGAAGAAGACAAGTCATCATATTGAAACAGAGCCAACAAAGGCCAACAAGGCAAATGAGTCAATCTTTTATGACAGAGATTACGTGTAAAAATAGTAAATGAAATGAAAGAGTTGATGAACCAGGACGGTTCAGATTAGAATGTCTAAGTAATAAGAATCTAGGGAATTTTTAGGTGTTTCACTTTCATGGGGATCAGTCAAGGAATTTCCAGGCATTCTATGGGAGTCAGACTAAGCAAATAATGATGCAATTTGAGAAGGGCCAGTAAAAAGATAGCAACTAAGTATATGAAAATCATCTATAAAGAGAGAATGACGGAGAAAAATCATCTATGACAGATGGAATGTAATGTCAGGTAACAAAGGAAAGGAGCTAACAAGGGTTTGTCTATTGGGGGAAGAGATAATATCCAGATGAAGGTTTGTTTACCTTTTGTTCGTGGGTATATATATAGATTGGATTTTGTTGTTTTCCATTTGTTTGTGTGTTTAGATCGGATTTTGCCTGAAGTTGAATGGTAGTTGGTTGAGTATCTAGGTAACATGTGTACTGGAGATATTGGTGCATCTGTGGCGTTCTCTAAATTATTCACATGCAAAAACAAAAAAGCAATTTCCAGCATACTTCTTTTTAAAATAATTGTGGTGTCCGAGCCTGCTTGCTTGTGCCTTAATTATTCCATTGGGCACCTGTTATCTCCCACCAGCATAGGTACCAGATAATTCTGTCTCAAAGGCTTAGGCAAATGGGAAGAACCACCGAGTCTTTTTATCTCCGCTAAGATTTGAACCTGAGACCTCATGGTTCTCCTCTCGCTTCATCGACCACTAGGCAACACCTTGGATGCAATTTCTAGCATAATGTTGGTGACTTATCCATAAACATTAATCAGTTATTTGAAAGAATGTGTATTACTCTGTACCATATTCCATTATACTGTTCAAGATACAACACATGATCCGTTGCAACATTTAACGAGGGATTTGTGTCCTGATTTGACAATTTTAAAAAAAACTTAGGAGTTTGAAATTCTAAAATTACCAAATATACACTCAAAATTATCGATGAGTGATGCTATAGCCTTACAGCTTCCCTCCAACCCCATCCCAAAAAAATAAATAAAGAACTAGACATGGAAAGGAGAAAATATAAAGTATTCGTCATGGTAGCTTAATTACATTAAATAACCAACATGAACATGATGCTATAGTGATGTATTTATAGGAAATCTAGAGTTCTAGACAATCAGAAGATGAAGGTGCAGTGATTGATATTCACAAACGAAAAAAAGAGAGGTGATATTTCAACTCTACTCAATTGGGAGAAAAAAAAGAGGTAAGATTAACCGAGGCTGTTCAAACAGGCATAGGACAACTAAAATGGCATTCCCGTAGCAATTAACCGAGGCTGTTCAAACAGGCATAGGCCAATTAAACGGCATTCCCGTAGCAATTGGGGTCTAGCATGGATATATGTGAGAAAAAATGAAGCTTCAAAGCAGTGGTACTCAGAGGCAACAAGGACTTCGAGGAATCTCGGTAAATAGAGAGGAAGACCTATCCAGGAAAGGTGGTCTGTATCCAAGGATGAGGTTTCTTCTCTCAGTAGAAGTAATGGATATTTGAGAAATATGTAGAAAGAAATTGAATGAGTTTCTATTGGTTCGGGAGCCGGAGCTTAGTAAATTTGCAAAAATAACTATGGCAATAAAACACTAAAGAGAGAGATGGGGTTTTGATGGGCAAGCTTTAAATGAAAAAGGAGTTTCAACTTGGCTGATGTTGACAGAGGAGGAAAGTGCTGAAGAATTGAGATACTGAAAAGGCTAGGATGAAAGATGGAAGGGGATTGGATAAAACATTAAGAGACTCGTTAAGAACAACTCCCTCAGAGTAGGTTCAACTTAAAAGATTCTGGCAAGGTAAGAAAGGAGAGCAGTGACCAGAACTAGAAGGGAAAATATTATTCGCGGGGATGATCTACATCAATGAGAAGATGGGTGGAGCATTCTTCAGTATAAGAGTATCTCTTTGCCTGTTCAAACAGCATTGAGATGGATGGAAGAGATGTAACCAAATGGGGAAAGGATGAAAGAAAGCTGTGTGAAAGGAAACTGGCAATCATTTACAGGTTCAAATAATAAAATTAGAATAAGTGTGACCATTCCTATTGATGCCCAACAAACTAACAGGTTTCACATTTTGGGCCAAAAACCAACATCCCTTTACCATATACCAAGTAGAATTATATGGATCAGAAAACAACAAGGATTAGATTATAAGATAGATTTATTCCATGAACTTCAGGTGATAAACCCACTTAAATTGAACTGACAAAAGAATTTGGTGAATTCAGAAGCTTGAGTACCAGATCATGCAAAAACCATTTCTTCTTTATAGGGAGATCATATTGGTGGAACTCATCATGTGGAGAGATCCATAAAGAGAATAAGTCAGTAAACTACATTCAAGCTTTATGGTTGAAAAAGGGATCTGAGCAGCAGATGTTACTTGGTAATCAGGAAGATAGTTGGAAGAGTAGAAGTAGCACATTTTTAAGGAAGGTGATCAGAATTTGGGTGACCACATCAGAAGAGAATGTCGCCACAATAAACTTAGTAAAGACCCAAGACTCCTCCTCCACCATAAAATAAATGCAAGATAAAAGAAAGACAAAACAAGAATTTTTAATAACTTCAACAGATGGAGAAATATCTGGAGAGAATTGGCCCCCAGGGCTTTGATCTAGTGGTTAGTGTAATGCTCGTGTAAGTTAGACACATCACACATGTCACAGGTTCGAACCTTGCCACAAATAAAAACTTGATATTTAAGTGGAGAATGATAAAAGAACAAACCCATTATTCACTGTGTTTCAAATTATGTATCATTGGTATGAGGGTTTTCTTGATTATCAAAAAAATCGATCAGATTGTTATTTTGTAGAATGCCTTAACAATTTGTACCCAAGGTGGCTTTCCGTCAAGCCAAAATCATTTCAGATCATATTTTTTTTGGAATTAGTGAGTCCATGTCCACTGCCTTTGCAATTCAAAGCTGGTTGGCTTTGCGCCTCAGGAGACGCCTTTAGATTCATCATTTGTATAAATTAAACTATGACATTCTAGTTGAACTACTTGAATATCTATAACTGAAGTAGTTTACCAAATTACATCGGAAATATTCATAAATTTAAAATAATGCACCCAAAGGTGTAGCTTAGTTGTCAACTTAGTAAGTAAAAATCATGGTTAAAATAACAAAAATAGCTCAGTGATTTCTCCTCATCGGACTAAGAACATGGCCAAAACTATCCCCACTGCTGGTGGCAGGTAATGCGAACAATTAAGTAGTATATCACAAAATCAATTCTTTTGTACAAATAGCTCAGGTATACACAAATAAATTGAATTAAAAAAATAAAAATAAAAGTCTAAACAGAAACTTCTGCTAAATTTGTTAAACTTGATATTACTATGTGAAGGGATAAATACATTTACAGAGAGAACTATGAAGACGTACCAATTGGAGAGATGAAGCTTTGGGGAAAAGAAAGTAAGAGGAGGGCACTTGTGTTGAGATCGGATCTGATAATCTCTGAGCTGCTCAACCAGTTTAGACCTTGTTATCATGTTCCCAAACGATCGGAAAACCTGATTCTCCGATCTCAATCGAATTTTTGCCTTCAATTTCAATTGCAAATTCAGAAGCAACGAACTACACCTAGTTAATGGTGGATTCGTAATTGAAGAGACGATCCTCCGAATTAACTGCTACACTGTTCCAACGGAAAAGGAAGACGAAGAAGAAAATGCTAAACTGAGAGGTATACGTATGAGCCCAATGAGATGTTTATTCATAAAAAATTAAATAAGATGATTTTTAAATACAGTGTGCTATTTAAGAGAAACAAATTACAAAATGAAAAAAAAACTTAGTATCTAATTACAAAATGAAATAACTATATATATTATCTTATTAATTACTCCAATAATTTTGTATCAGTTTTTAAGTCACACTATTCCTTCATATTTTAAGTGAGAAAGTCAACATGTATATTTAATATCAAATATATCCTAAAATACATACATAGGAAGAGAAGTGAGTGAGATAGGAGAGAGACAAACAAGTGAGCGAGAAAGTATATACTCCCTCCTCCGTTTAAAAAAGAATGACATTTTTTTCTTTTTTAGTTTGTTTCAAAAAGAATGACCTCTTTCTTTTTCTTTTTTTGGTAACATTTTAATTTCAGTTTTCCACGTGGCATATTTAAGGCCACAAGATTAAAGGGCAATTTTGTACATTTGACGTAACTTTAATTTAGGATCATAAGATTCAAAAGTCTTCTTTATTTTCTTAAACTCCGTGCCAAGTCAAACTAGATAATTCTTTGTGAAACGGATGGAGTATCTTTTAATACTCCATCCGTCCATTTTTAATTGTCCTGATTTCTTTATTAGAGTCAAACTATAAAAATTTTGATTAACATTTTATGATGTATTTTTTCATCATTTTGATATGCAAAAGATACCAATTTATTGTATTTTTCGTATAGTTTTTGAATATCTACTTTTTTTCTTTAAAATATCAAATTAATGTAATCTAATTTAACTTTGAAAATTAATCAAATTGACTTTCGAAAAACACAACATGACAATTAAAAGTAGACGGAGAAAGTATTAGATAGAATATATGTATTTTTAATATCAGATACATTTTGAAATACAAATTAATAGAAAGAAAAGCGAGCGAGATAGAAGAAAGACAACGGAAAAAATCAATATATCTCAAATATATGTGAATCATATTTTAATACAATGTATTTACAAATCTAGAACGAATTACATCTGATTTGACCTGTATAAATCCATACGGCAAAATAAATATGATAGATAAAGGTAATTTCAAAAACTAAGGCGGGGGCATAAGCCAGTGAAATGTATATTATTTGCTCATTAAATTAAGATACCATGATACATTCACATAAAATATGTTAAATGCAGCATCATGTTACTTTGTGCATTACTAATACACTACCTAGTTTAATAACGATATTAAATACTATCTAAATTACGAGAATTTATGTGTTATTAAACAAACTCATATAAGAAAAATTTATACAGTTTAGGACACAAACTTTTAAATATGTATTTTGAGATCACTTTTTTGTTTGGAGAAAAAAAGGGTAGGCTGAGCAGGAGAAAGCAATTGGGAATTGAATCAACTGCCGAGGAGTCTGTTGAGCATATTCATTTTTGGGGAAGAGAAGAAGGAAGGAAGGAGATCTCTAATGGCGACGCCAAGAGCAGATAGAGAATTAGAGCTTCTCATACCAATGGGAGGCGTTGAGAATATTAATGCTAATCACTCCAAATCTTCTTCTCCTTCTCATTCCTCCAAAATTCCATCTTCTTCTAGGTCTCATCACTCTTCTGGCAAAGAGGTTTCTCTCTCTCTCTCTCTCAGTATCATTCATCAATGTGCCACGCCATTTTGTTACCATCATCTGATCCGATACATTTGTCATTATTTTTTCTGTATCTTCTTCCTAATTGACGTTTTATCGGTTAACCTGAAGCTTAGACTATATTTAACATGAATCCTGTATTTTCCTTGACGTACTTGTATCAAATGTGCGTTGATTATTCATGAAAATTCTCCATAAAAAATTGCGCAAAATCACAGTGACTACTTATATACTGGATATCTACCCGTAAACCAGTCCAGGTAACATAGAGATTGAATTGTGATAGCGTGATGAATTGCAGCATGAATTGTTATCCTTCTATGCAGGCATTTAGCAAAGTTATTCGTAGCTGGACTTGGAAAAAGTTCATCAGCGGATGGTTAGTTTTCTATTGCTCAGAAATCTGTTCCTCCTGTTGTTATCATTATGCAGTGCTTTTTCTCTTTGCTGAATGGTTTATTTGCATGAATGCTGTATAATTGTTTTGCAGTGTCATCTTATTTCCCATAGCCATAACTTTTTACATCACCTGGTGGTTCATTCATTTTGTGGATGCCTTCTTTTCTCCGATCTATAATCACCTTGGAATCAATGTATTTGGTTAGTACCTACGATCTTTATGTACTTATCTATTTGACTGTACAAAAACTGATGAAGATTAAGATTGAGACTCATCTCAAAGATTAAGATGGTTTGAAGTGTTCAGTGATTGTGTGTGTGTGCGCCTCTCATTTTATGTATGCATACCGATACGTCCCTCCAATTTGATTGCCTCTATTCTATATTAGCATATTTAATTTGAGTATGTGGTTGCTCTTCTGAGAAATGCCTACATGAAATACTTCCAGTATCTGGTCCTTCTTTTGAGCATGAAAAGATTTATTGCGGTTGTTGAATGCGCATTTCATTTATGGTTAGTGTTCATATTGATTCACAGGCCTTGGATTTGTTACCTCCATGACTTTCATCTTCTTCGTTGGGGTGTTCATGTCTTCATGGTTAGGTGCATCTCTTCTTAGTTTAGGAGAGTGGTTCATAAAAAAAATGCCCCTCATGAGCTACATCTACTCTGCCTCCAAGCAAATTAGCTCAGCAATTTCACCAGGTATCCTACCAAATTTTGAAATTCTGTTTGAACGTTCCAAATACTAAACAGAATGTAGCAATTGTTTCCAGATAAAACTTCACATGCCTTCAAAGAAGTGGCCATAATAAGGCATCCGCGGCTTGGTGAATATGCATTTGGCTTTATCACTTCAACTGTCATACTTCACAAGAATACAGGTGCAGAGGAACTCTGCTGTGTTTATGTGCCAACTAATCACCTCTACCTTGGAGATATATTTCTTGTGAATTCTGAAGACGTTATGAGGCCCAATCTCTCTGTTCGAGAGGGGATAGGTAAGAGTCTAAATTCGAGTTTTGACAAACTAACTTTGCAGTTTTTACCTTCATCTCTTTTAACAACGTTTAAATTTCAAACGATGTAGAAATTGTAATCTCCGGGGGCATGGCTGTACCAAAGGTACTGAACATACAGGAAGTGCAATCTATTTTATCTCCGAGAGTTGGAAAATTTGCAGTTCCACAAGTTTGATTACTCAACCATTTGAACAAGAAACCATGGAAAAGATATTGCTCAACGAGTAAACTGGACAAACAGACGTAGAAATGGGGTTAATAATTCAAGGATAGAGGCTCTTACAAGAATATATCCCCAATCTTTTTCTTCTGATCTTTGTGATTTTTTGGTACATTTATCTGATTTTTTGTAAAACAATATTAAACAAACAAGATTTTGTCAAATGAGCTCAAGTTAGAAATTGAGCTTAACTCATAAGTCATACCTATGCAGATTGCAACAAAGGAGGCCGCCTTTGATATATTTTTTTTCCTTTCTTCTCAACAACTTGCATATATTTCTTTTTGCATATATTTTTTTTCCTTTCTTCTCAACAACTTGCATATATTTCTTTTTGCATATATTTTTTTTCCTTTCTTCTCAACAACTTGCATACATTTCTAAGTTTTATGCGCTGATACTAAATAATATTCATACAATCAGATTAATCAAAAGGTAAATGCATGTTGATAATGATAACATACAATTATAAGTACTAAAAGGTTAAAGTACACTAATTGTGTAAAAATTCATTCAATTTCCTTGTAGGTTATTCTTTATAAATTTATTTCAAATGAAGTAGAAGTTAAAATGCCGTCATTTTCGCACAGATTTTGAGGGCTCCAAGATGTCAGGCCCTGTCGACAGTCTCTTAGCTACGTTTTATATCGTTCTTTCATATAATAGACAAACACATCCGTTATCGTCCAGCGGTTAGGATATCTGGCTTTCACCCAGGAGACCCGGGTTCGATTCCCGGTAACGGAATCCTTTTTCTATGACGACTTTTTTTTTTTGGTTTGCCCATATACTCTGTCCAACCTAAATCATTTTGCCTCTTAATAGACTTGGTAGATGAATAGAAAACAGTAACAATAAAAAATGAAAATATTTCTCTTGATAAACTAAACTGGAGAAAATTATACTCCCTAAGTGGACTTGGAATAATTTGGACAATGACTAATTATGGGTAAAATACGAAAAGAATAATATTTCTCTTGATAATCAAAAATGGACAAGCAAAATTAGAGAATATTCAAAGCTTATAAAATACACTCTTAACTTCATTGTATGCAAGGCGTAAATTCAGTGAGTTCCAAAATAGCTTACTTAGAGTAACGTTACATTAACTACTTGTCAAAAAAAGATCTATTCTTCCCCCATTTTCACCCACTTCATTAGCACAGCTTCACAAAATTGCTGCTGTTACCAAAAGCATCATTCAATGCTTTAGCAAGTTCACCCACGTAAGCAGCAGCCCAAATTTACAAAATTTTGCTGGGGTTACCCAAAACATAATAATTCAAGAATTAACTATTTGACTAAATAAGTTCTAAAACATGTTAACTGTCATCAGCTGTTGAGGGTAGAAAGCATTCCTCCAGTTGCAGTTGGAATAACTACTTCCCAACCAGGTCCTTTGAGAGGAAGGACGTTAACACATGATTCAGTGTCTCCATCTTCACCTGAAGGAGGACGGATAAGTAGATCACTACGGTCTAAAATCCTCTGCAGATCTTCGCCACTGACATCTGTCTGCACCAACTTGTCCTCCTCACTGTCTTGATCTCTCAAGACAGACAACAAATCCTCCTCCTGCAACATTGAAGATTAATTAATAAGCAAAATTCACCTATTATTTTCATCTACTACTCTTGTCGCATTGTTACTTGCATACAACAGAAAAGAAATGGGTTAAAAGACAACAAACTAGGTAAAGCAGGAACATATTCGAACAAGTAATGAAAAAGTAAA